CATAGAACCTTTTGTCCAGTCTTATCTCTAGAAAGACGTGTAAAGTACAAAGATGGCTTTCTCACCACTTCTCAACTGTACTTACAATTTAAGTGTTTTATTTTCCAGAATGTTTTCCTCTAAGTGGCCTAGAATCCCTCCCTTTAAGACACAAGCATGTGTATGTGTTCGTTCCTTCATTCATCAAATGCTCCCTGAACATCCCGGGGATGCTGTCAGTGCTCAGCTTTGGGGGGACAGATGTCACCAGCGGTCCCAGCACTCAAGCTATAAAGACACCAGATGCAGTGTCCAAGCCACCTCAGCTGAGAACTTGGCAGGACATCATCAGTGACTCTGGCCAGCACATGTGGAGTCGGGGCACAATTGGCCCTGGTGGCATTTTAAACCAAGACGGGAAATGAGATAGCCTTTTGGGGTCAGGAGAATCAGATAAAAGCTCAAAAAAGTTACAGACACAATTTGAGGCGGTTTCTGGACACCTTCTAAAATTAGGCTGAGAAGGCTGGGTCCATAGTAGGGTACTTGGGGTGAAGCCCACCTTGGAAGCCAGGATAGCATCATTTCAAGAAGTGGGCCTCAGAGTCTTCTCAGCAGGGTAACAAGTTTTAGCCTCTGAGTCCCCTTCCTGAAGAGCTGAGCTGGACAGAGCCCAGGGCCTTGAGACTGGAGTGGCGGAGAGTATGGGGAGAGAGGAAGATGGGGAGAAAGTGGGGGGCTGTGCTCCCATTAAAGGAATGGAAGAAGGATGGAGTCACCAAGGGAAGGGTACAGAGGCAGGTTAGATGCATGCAGGTGGGGAGACAGGGTGTGGAAGGGAGGGATATGGCCAGACTCAAGACAGAAGTGTGAAGGGGGAAGATAAGATGGAGATTGGTGAAAGAGGAGGGTGGAGGACCAGATGAGATTCGTGGAGGTAAGGGGAGCAGAGAAGTGAGAGGGGCTGTGCCCCCCTCTGAGCCTGTCGGCATCTCCTCCCTGCGCGTTGGTTTCCCGGGGGATGAGACTCCGCGTCTGCCCGCCCCCAATCTTTGGGCGAGGCTTCACGCAAGCTCCCGGAGCAGCGGATCCGGGCTCGGAGGTATTTTCCCCTTCGGCCGCGGCTCCAGGAGCGGCCTAGCGGGCCAGCTGTTCTCACCGAGCCCGTGGAGGGTAAGACCAAGGCAAAGGGATGCGGGCAAGCGCCGTGCGGGCCCGGGGGATGGAGGTGCCGTGCAGGGATCGGTGGGGTCCGGGAAGCACATCTATCACCCAGACCTCTGCGTCGAGAGCCTGTGTTGGAGGGGTCCAGATCTCCGACCCCGCAAGGGCTGCTAAGCAGGCGGATGGGGTGGAGGAAGAGCATGGGGCGGGGGGAAGGGGAAAGGACCATCTCCTGGTTCGGGCCTGGCGGGGGAGGGGCGTACAGCGCCCGGGTGGGGCCGGTTTGGTGTCACCAGCTGCAAGTCTTCCGCGACACCCACAAGGCACGAACCTCCGGCTCTAGCCTTACAACCTTCGTGCTGCCCGGCCCTGTGGCCTCCGAAGACGGACAGCTAGGATGCCGAGAGTCCGGGCGAGTCTGAGACCTCGTCCGCCAAATACAGCCCCTCCCCCATCATCTGTAACCAGAAGACACTTGCGTTCCCTCGGCCTCAGAGTGGCCTCGTGTGCGCTGACCCTCAGAGACCTGAGCAGACCCTTCGGTTCAGCGGGGAACGTCCTCCCCAGGCCTGAATCTGTCTGCAGGGTTAACCCCCTCCCTATTCTGCGACACCCTCCCTCTCCATGCTAAGCCCTCCCACCGCCATCCTTCCCTTCCAGACCCGGTGTCTGATGGTCAGGTCGAAGCTCCTCCCACTCCACCCCAACCCAAACACCTTCCAGAAGCTGGGGCTCCCTCTCCATATAAATTTTGCCCTCATTGATCCCCATAAAACCTGGGACGCCTCCCTTACTCCCTGCTGAGTCCCTGCCCCCAAACGCTGGACCCCTTGCCCCACGGCTGTGTCTCCGATGCCCTAGTCCAGCCCTCTTCCTCCATCTTTCTAGAAGCTGAGACTCCTTCCTCCTCCTCCTCCCCCGCAAACATGTTGTTGTTATGTGCCGTCGAGTCGGTTCCGACCCATAGCGACCCTGTATAGGGTTTCTGAGGAGCAGCTGATGAGCTTGAACTGCCGACCTTGCAGTTCAAACGGGTCTGTAGTCTGGCGCATGAACCCGCAGCGCCACCCCAGGTCCCTCTGTCCCCAAGCCCTGAGCCTGTTCTGCAATCCCCTCTTCCCACAGCTTCTGCACCACGAAGATGAACTGGACGGTCGCGACGTGCTGGGCTCTGCTGCTGGCCGCAACTTTCCTCTGTGACAGCGGCACGGCCAAGGG